TTCGTTGTCGATTCTTCTGTTCCTTCAACTTCAACGGGATTCTCCCTTGTGTATTGTGTCGGAGTAGTATATCAGCTCGTATATATCAATCCATCTTTTCCTCTTTTGTGTCCCTTTGAGATCCCCATCTTTTTGTGAGAGCGATCTCATTCGATCACTTCATCTTCATTCTTTTTTTGCCTGGCCAGCCTATCGATAAGGGCTATCCAAGGAACCACCCCCCACTCACAAGAAGACTTTCGGTCGCCCCCCTCCCACCCCCCGCTATTACTGGTCCACCTTTCGCTCAGGTTCTTTTTTTTCCCTTTTCTCTCTCGCCTTCATCGGACAGCTTTTATCTAGGCTTCCTGACCGTCCCTTCCTCTTCCCTTTCCGCCTTACCCTACCCACCACCCACCTCCCCCCTCCTCTCCTCTCTCCTCTCCTCCCATCAACCACTCGCTTATTCGACAAGATGGTGTCTGCCTCCAAAGCCGCTCGTTTGGCAAAGCGTGCCGCCGATGGCGCCGACAAGAAGAAGCCCACCAAGGGCAAGAAGGACGACCCCGTCGTCGACGGTGAGGGCGGCGATGACCAGCCTGCCACCACCGATGAGAAGATGAAGGAGGTTGAGAAGTTGACTGCTCAGATGGACAAGCACGGTCTCTCCGATCGTGTCACGACCGGTGTCCTTGCTTCTCTGCCCTCCTCCCGCGACGTCAAGGTCACTTCCGCCTCCCTGGTGTTCCACGGAAAGGTTCTTATCACCGACTCGACTCTCGAACTGAACTTCGGTCGTCGTTACGGTCTCCTCGGTGAGAACGGCTGCGGAAAGTCTACTATCCTCAAGTCTATTGCCACCCGCGAATACCCTATTCCCGAGCACATTGATATCTACCTCCTGAACGAGGGTGCTCCTCCCAGTGAGCTCGGTGCCCTTGAGTGGGTTGTCACCGAGGCTCAGAACCAGCTCGACCGCATGGAGAAGCAGGCCGAAGAAATCCTTGAGAGGGAGGGTCCCGACTCTCCTATCCTCGAGGATCTGTACGACGTGAGTTTTCCCTCTCCATCTCTTCATCCCTCTTTGCTCTGTTCTAACCTCCTCTGCAGCGTATGGACAAGATGGATCCCTCGACTTTCCACACCCGTGCCTCCCTGATCTTGACCGGTCTGGGTTTCAACAAGCAGACCATCCACAAGAAGACCAAGGACATGTCTGGTGGTTGGCGTATGCGTGTGGCCCTTGCCAAGGCCCTCTTCGTCAAGCCCTCTCTGCTTCTGCTCGACGACCCCACTGCTCACTTGGATCTCGAGGCCTGTGTGTGGTTGGAAGAATACCTCAAGAAGTGGGAGCGTACCCTGATCCTCGTCTCCCACTCCATGGATTTCCTCAACGGTGTTTGCACCAACATGATCGACATGCGCATGAAGCAGCTCCTCTACTACGGTGGTAACTACGACTCTTACCACAAGACTCGTGCCGAACAGGAGACGAACCAGATGAAGGCCTACAACAAGCAGCAGGAAGAAATTGCTCACATCAAGAAGTTCATTGCTTCCGCCGGTACCTACGCCAACTTGGTCAGACAGGCCAAGTCCCGTCAGAAGATCCTGGACAAGATGGAGGCCGATGGTTTCATCCAGCCCGTCATCCCCGACAGAGTCTTCAGCTTCCGCTTCGCCGATGTCGAGAAGCTTCCTCCTCCCGTTCTGTCCTTCGACGACGTCTCTTTCTCCTACTCTGGCAAGTGGGAGGACACCCTGTACGAGCACCTCGACTTCGGTGTCGACATGGACTCCCGCACAGCCCTTGTCGGACCCAACGGTGTCGGAAAGTCCACTCTGCTGCGCATCATGACCGGCAAGCTGAGCCCCATCGGTGGTCGTGTCTCCCGCCACACTCACTTGAAGCTGGGCATGTACAGTCAGCACTCTGCTGAGCAGCTGGATCTGACCAAGTCTGCCCTCGAGTTCGTCCGTGACAAGTTCCCCGAGAAGTCTCAGGACTACCAGTACTGGCGTCAGCAGCTGGGCCGTTACGGTCTCAGCGGTGAGTCCCAGACTGCCCTCATGGGTACTCTGTCCGAGGGTCAGAAGTCTCGTATCGTCTTCGCCCTGTTGGCTATCGAGTCGCCTAACATGATCCTGCTGGACGAGCCTACCAACGGTCTGGATATTCCCACCATTGACAGTTTGGCCGATGCCATCAACGCTTTCAGCGGTGGTGTTGTCGTCGTGTCCCACGACTTCCGTCTCCTTGACAAGATCGCCAAGGACATCATGGTCTGCGAGAACAAGACCGTCACCCGCTGGAACGGTACTATCGGCGAGTACAAGAACCACCTCCGCAAGAAGATGATTTCCGAGGGTGCTGTCTAAAGTACAAACCACTGAAAAAGAAGGAAGAAGTGATTAATCTTCTTGTTTATGATTGGAATGTTCGAGACGACACACACATGCAAATATAAAAAAGGCTTGTAAGGGGAAGGAAAAAAGTTTCTCTTTACCGTTACAGGAGAGATGAACCATCCTGATGAATGACATTCGCGCGGAAGGTTATCCGTTTTTTCTACTATTTTTCCTTTTTTTCAAATACCTGGAGATATCTTTGCTCATTACTACTACTACACATTTGGGTGCTTTGTTTTAGATGGTCTGTGTTTCATCTTTTCATACCTTCATCGTCACTCCCCCCAACCTAACTAGACTTGAGCGTTTGAGGGTTTCAATTTGATATTATTCCCTTGCTATACTACTTTCAGAGTTACGTAGACATATATACCCATGTAGGATGATTTCCCTCGTATCACAACTTTTAAATACTCACGTCTGAACTACTAAATTCTCCGAGCCTAGTGGTTGTATACTCACCCAGGTTGCCGTATCCATAGTACTAAGTATACTAGTACTAGGTAGTATATAAACCTGGACGCATAAGTAGAGGTCGTCTAGTACATCATGTTCCAATATACAGTATAATTTATCAGGTCCAACTGAAACACTTAACTCACTTTCTTTTTAATATAAAAGAGGACTAATTAATAAATAACATGCTTTTCCATCTATTGCGCCTATCTACACGCTCAAACCAACAAATTCACCAACATCGTCGTCGCCCCAAAAAGCTAACAATAATAATAACAACTATAGTATAGGAATTATACTTGAACCATAAGGTTCAATATTACTGCTATTGCTGCTGATCCCCCTCCATCTGCCTCTCCTTTGTCCTTTGCGTGACTAATTCCCCTCCGAAGAGATCTTTCGTCGTTTCATTCCCCCGCTCTAGCTTCCGCTTCTTCGCTAGACGCTCCATTTCGCTTTCTGATGTCCCTGACTCGCCTGCTGCAGCTGCAGCAGCGGCAGCCGCCGCGGCAGGGATGCGTTTCTGGCCTGCGATATTGGCCTTCTCTGGGTTCTGGCAATGGTAGAGTTTCTTGCCGACGATGCGTTTCAGGGTCTTCATGCGGGCTTCGTCGGACGCGAAGGGTTTGTATGCTTGGAGGAGGGCGGAGCAGTTTGCGAGGGTGGTGAGGAGTTTCGTGCGCAGGGCGTACAGGGGATTTTGATCATGGTTGGATGATGATATGATGGGACCGCCTAGTTTCGTGTCGAGGTAGAATTCAGCCAAGGGGCGATCGGCGAGAAGGAACGCCGAGAGCCAGATCTGGGCTGGAGTGTAGAGGAAGTAGGCGTCTGTGATTTGGGCGGCGGCTTTGAGGATCTCGCGGGTGGAGTGGTGAGCGCGGGAGATGCGGTCGTTCATGGTGTTTGCGGTGGCGGAGGAAGGGGAGAGGGAGAGGAGAGCTCTGCGGAGGTCTTCTGGTGTTTGGGAGGGTTGGAGGTGTGGTGCTGGTTGGCCTTGGCCTTGGGATATGGCGCGGAGTTCCATGATGCCGCCTTCTAGGCCGCGGAAGGGGTGGCGCACGTCGAAGGTGAAGCGGAGGCTTTGCATGACGATGAATTCTGGGGCGATGATGTCGTCGGCGGAGGTTTGGCCGGGGACGCCTTCGGCGAATTGTCGTAGGGAGAGGTAGTAGTTGTCGGTTTTGGTGGCGAGGAAGAGGGCGCACGGCATGATTTGTTTCGGGTGGTAGGTCATTGGGGAGTTGGTGAGGTAGAAGCGACGGAGGTATTGGATTGCTGTGGCCTTTGGGGTTGGGTTAGATATGTTAGTAATGGGAGGGAGATTTGAGGGACTGGGATATGGGGTAGGAGGGGAGCTCGTACTCTCACGATGGTGGGAAGTGGTGGTTTGTAGTTCTCTCCTAGTTGTATGATTTGTTCGGAGTAGTAGTCCACCACTTGCTGCTCTTCTTCGGGTGTCAAGCACTCAATCTGCTTCTCTTCTGTTGCTTTATTCTCCGCATCGCTTCCCGGGGCTGGTGTGCCTGTTGTTGAGGAGGTGGCTGATCTTCGGGCGTCTTGTGCCCTTCGTAGAGCTGCTCGCACTCGGTCACTCGCGACGGAGTTGGTGGTTGCTCGTAATTGCTTCAGTGATGCTTCGGTGAAGGACCACAGTCGGAACTGGGAGGATGATCGGTATATTTCGTCTTCAATCATGTTGGAAGACAGCTATATAGTGAGTTCACTGTCGCGATATGTGTAGCTAACGATGGAAGTGCTTGTTGCGCGAGGATTCTGGGGGACGGCGGAAAGTCAAAGCTGATCTGCAGCGGACTTTGCCGCATATCCACGTGCTTATCGATAGGCCCGCTGCCTTTACTTCCGTACATTACTAGACCTCCACTGCAGTTTGCTGATTGCCTGGATCATATTAAAGAGATGGCATTTAATTAGAAAGGCACTATACCTTCAGTCATACAAATATTGATTGAGTTAATGCAAGGCTAATCGTATCCTGACTTGAGCTATGCTGCCGAAAAATGTAGAAAGCGAATGGATATATTAAACATGGGTCATCACAGCCTGGGTTCTGACTTGAGAAAAGAGAAATGAAATTATCTTGTTCATGTTTGTGCGAAGAGGTCTCAAGATTCGAGAGAGCAAACCCGACTGAATCGCCTAGCACCGTCGCTATTGCAAAATCTAAACCATCCGAACCGTCTGTCACATCACACCAACTACGGCTCACCAAGTAGCCGCGCCGTAATGTCTCCCATGTACGCCTCCTCCAGCTCGTAATCTTCCCCGTCCATTCGATCAATGCCATAGTATTTAAATGCGGCTACAACGCGGTCAACGTCAAATCCCATGTTACAGAATCGGTCGATCAAGTCTTTGTTATAGCCGTCGTATCTGCACAGAAAGGTTAGCCAGAGCATGCTTGATCCTACACACGTGTACATACTTGCTTAAATCCTCTTGTTCCTGCTCTTCTTTCGACTTGATCTCCTGCAGTCGAAGAGTTTCGTCTGTCACACCGCCACTGCCTTCACCTGCATGCCTTCTGGGAGCTCCTGCATACATCACAGCCCACTCCTGAGCAACCCGTGCAAATTCCTGCGGTCTCCGAAGGAGCATCGTGGCGACCTCGGCATCTTGAGGATCTTTGGGTTCGGGTGTGCTGAGCAGGGATTGCAGTGACAGAAGGGCAGACTTGATGGTGAGCACCGGTGACCACGCAGTAGAAAGAGTGTCTAGGCAGATAGCACCCTAGGCAAGTCACTTTGTTAGCAAAACTGGAGATACCCTAACATTACGTGACTGGAGCCGACTTACTGTTTGACTGCTAACGTTGGGATGCCAGACCTTGGTCACAAACTTCATATGAGGAGGTCGAAATGGATAATCGTTGGGGATTTTGATGTCGATGGTATAGGTGCCACCTTCGTAGGGTGTTCCTGGAGGTCCTGGGAATGTGCCTCGAAGATGCGTGAGATCCTCACCACCATGCAGTGGCTCAGCCGTGATTTGCGACTGTGTGTCGGCGTGAATGTCGGCGATCTCTTTGGCGATACGCCTCGCACGATTGCCAGACATCGTGAGAACAATCTCCGGAAAACGGGTAGCTTGTGTTATTTTTATCTTTTCTGAAGAAGCGAAGAAAGTAGGTTTGGATTGTCTGGACAGTTGAAGGATAAGAATAGAAAAGATCTAAGAACTATGAGGCAATAGTCAAAGCTTCGTCAGCCTCACAGTAGCCAAGTACCGAGAGGGCGAGGAAGTGTAGCAGGTGGTCTGTAGCAGGGAGGTTGAGGAAAAGAAGGAACTAGTGGAGTAGGTGCAATTAATACAAACGCTGGAGACCAACGACTGATCTGTAATAGCGGTCACCTAATCTGGTGGGAGTGGACTAGAGAGGATTGTTGTAGTATGGGCGAAAGTGAGGGGATCAATGCTCTCGGCGGGGCGCAAGTAAGCGCTCTATCACGGAAGAGCGCTAAACAATCGAACAAGATTAGTTAGTAGATCACAGGAGCTGAGTCGAACCCTGGCACGGGATGAATTCGGCTAGAATATATATGAATGATAGCGGAAATATATGTTCCGGACTAAAGAAAAGGAACAAGTTGTAGAAGCAATATAGGGGGAAAATGACCCGTCGGGCTACCTGGACGGTTCGGAGTAGAGCTGAGCTGCCAGTACATTTTGTTACAGATCGGGCCCAGCTCGGTTGGCGCCAGACTACTTTTGGCTGCCTGGGCCGGAGGATCCCAAGAGGGGCTTGCGGGAGATGCCTCAGGGATCAGCCACTAGCGCCTCAGGCACCAAGGCATGTAATAAGTACGGATCGGATCACGTCACGTGCTGCCAAATGTGCTGGACGGGCGCCAAGGCCAGAGCGGATGGCGACCAACAGCTTCCCAGCTGCGCAACGCATCAGCTTCACCTCCCCATCCTCCTTCACCCATCCCCATCTCTTCACCCCATCCACGCTCATCGCGAATTCTTCATTACATTCCCCACACCCCTGCATAGGTTGTCTATAAGAAGCCTACTGCTTCTCACAGTTTCGGACTATGGTTGGTGCCCGGCGTTGGCCCTTGTTGACAGCTCTTGTCGGCTCCTGATGTCACTTATCTGACCAATCTTCATCACAGGGTAACCAGCAGTCCAACATCGGCGGAGGCCCCGGTGGCGATGGAAGAGATGAGAAGGACAAGAAGGTATGCTATACTCCACTTGATCTTCTTGTCAGGTAGCAGCCGGCTTACGTTGCGCTTCTCTGCAGAAGGACAAGCCCAGATACGAACCTCCTCCGCCGCCTACGACTCGTCTCGGACGTAAGAAGCGCAAGGCTGCCGGCCCGAGTACTGCCTCCAAGCTTCCAGACATCTTCCCAACGTCACGATGTAAATTACGATACCTCCGAATGCAACGAGTCCACGACCATTTGTTGCTAGAGGAAGAGTACGTGGAGAATATGGAACGCCTGCGCAAGACCAAGGCCCAGGCTGCGCTGGATTCGGCGAACCGTAATGATCTCGACATCATGGATCGGAACGCCGATGAGAGAAGCCGGGTTGATGACATGAGAGGCAGCCCCATGGGTGTCGGAAACCTGGAAGAGCTGATTGACGATGACCACGCCATCGTCTCGAGTGCGACTGGACCGGAATACTATGTTTCGATCATGTCGTTCGTTGACAAGGACCTTCTCGAGCCTGGTGCTAGCATTCTTCTACACCACAAGTCGGTCTCGGTTGTCGGTGTGCTCACCGAAGAATCCGACCCCCTCGTATCAGTGATGAAGCTCGACAAAGCTCCCACAGAATCATATGCCGATATTGGTGGTCTGGAAACCCAGATCCAAGAAGTCCGGGAGTCTGTGGAGCTTCCTTTGCTCCACCCCGAGCTGTACGAGGAGATGGGTATCAAGCCGCCAAAGGGTGTGATTCTTTACGGTGCCCCTGGTACCGGAAAGACGCTGCTGGCCAAGGCGGTCGCGAACCAAACCAGTGCTACTTTCCTCCGTATCGTTGGTAGTGAGCTGATTCAGAAGTACCTTGGAGATGGCCCTCGTCTGGTCCGTCAAATCTTCCAGGTTGCAGCTGAGCACGCCCCCTCCATTGTTTTCATTGACGAAATCGATGCGATTGGTACGAAGCGTTATGATTCTACGTCGGGTGGTGAACGAGAAATCCAGCGTACCATGCTTGAGCTTCTTAACCAGCTTGATGGATTCGATGATCGCGGTGACGTCAAGGTCATCATGGCCACCAACAAGATTGAAACCTTGGATCCTGCTTTGATCCGTCCGGGACGTATCGACAGAAAGATTCTCTTCGAGAACCCAGACCGTAAGTCTCAGCACTATGCCTTTTGTACCACAATGCTAATTATACACAGAAAACACTAAGAAGAAGATCTTTACCCTGCACACTTCCAAGATGTCGCTCGGAGACGATGTCGACTTGGACGAGTTCATCAACCAGAAGGATGATCTCTCTGGTGCTGATATCCGTGCTATCTGCACTGAAGCTGGTTTGATGGCGCTGAGAGAGCGCCGGATGCGGGTGCAGATGGACGACTTCCGCGCAGCCAGAGAGCGGATCATGAAGACGAAGCAGGACGGAGGTCCAGTGGAGGGACTGTACTTGTAGGCGTGCAGATATCGATGTTGTACTTAGATTTTCCCTAGTTGAACCGATGTAGCGCGGTGCTATTAGGTCAAGAATCTATCCTAGTGTATCTTTACAATAGTAGGACCGGGCTGGTGGCCTGTAATTTGTGTTGTCACGGGCGCTGCCCTTGAACTTGCACAAGCGTATTAATCTGTCCGTGCGCATTGTAGATGCTGCTGACCTGGAGCGCTCTCACCCATTCTCCGGTGACGTCGCGAGCCACTGCTTATCGAGGGCTATGCAGTCTTATCACCACGTGACAGCGTAACGCAAACAGTGCAAATACACCAAATCTTACAAACAATAAGGACATCGTCCATCACATCTGAAGTCATCGCCAAACTTCATCCAGGACAAAAGACCAGCTGCCATAATGGACGGATTTGACGAGGAGGCATTCAAGAAGTTTTTCCCGACTAGCTTTGGCAAGCAAGAGAAGAAGACCGATGTCAGCTCGCAGATTGATCGCACCAAGCGCGCAGAAGTCTCTGTGAACCCTGATGGCGACGACAAAAAAGCGGGTATAACAGGAGAGTCGACGACTGAGGCGACGCCCACGGCCGAGGAGGATAGCCAGAAGAACGATTCCGATAGTGATGATGGAAGCGACGACTCCGATGACGATTCCGACGATGAGGATGAGTTCCCGGTGTCTCACGAACTCGTTCTCAAGACACACGACCGCGCAGTGACTACGTTGACCGTGGATCCCGCAGGTTCGCGACTGATCACCGGCTCGACAGACTGTACTATAAAGCTTCACGACTTTGCGTCCATGACCCCGTCGACCATACGCGCATTCAAATCCGTCGATCCTTCAGCCAAAAAGCAGTCTGCTGCGCAGGAGGCGCATGCCGTGCATTATGCAGCTTTCAATCCCTTGTCCCCCAGCTACGTCATGGTTGTTTCGGCCACACCCCAGCCAAGGATTTTGAGCCGCGATGGTGATACGATTACCGAGTTTGTGAAGGGTGATATGTATTTGAGGGATCTTCATAACACCAAGGGTCATATCTCTGAGGTGACTGGCGGCGTGTGGTGTCCAACCGACGAGAACCTCTGTGCCACGGCAGGAACAGATAGTACTGTGCGCATCTGGGATGCCAATGTCGGTCGGTCACAGAAGGAGGTTATTGTGCATAAATCAAAAATGGCGGGATCCGCTGGCCGGAGCAAAATGACCGCTGTCGCATGGGGCTCACCCAAGCAGGGTGGCTCTAATGTTCTCGTTGCTGCTGCGCTCGATGGCAGTTTGCTCATGTGGAGCGGAAACGGGCCGTACACTCGGCCAAGCGCAGAGATTAGAGATGCCCATACCAAGGATACTTGGACGAGTGGAATCGACATCAGCTCGGATGGACGACTTGTTATTACCAAGGGCGGAGATGACACTATCAAGCTATGGGATACTAGAAAGTTCAAGCAACCTATCACCACGGTCGCCCATCCTTCCAGCACGCGGTATCCGTCGTCGAATATTATATTCTCGCCTACGTCCGCTAATGTTCTCACGGGCTCGGAGACTGGACACCTGCATATCTTGAATCCAGCTACGTTGAAACCGGAACTGGTCACGCCCGTTACGCCAGGATCGCCTGTTATCAGCGTTTTGTGGCATGAGAAGATGAACCAGATCATTACCGGTTCGGCCAACGCCGAAACTCATGTTCTTTACAACCCCAATATGTCTACCAAGGGTGCTGCCTTGATCATGTCCAAGGCACCGAAGCGTCGACACATCGATGATGACCCAAGCCTTACCATGGATCTCACCCAAGGGATTTCTGGAGACTCCGTGGTTGTCGGGTCCAATGGGGTGCCTCATTACAGTTCATCCACCTGGTCCGCCCGGCATCCGACCATCGGACTCACGGCGTCAGGCCGTCCAAGAGATCCACGGAGACCTCATCTACCAGCACAAACGCCCTTTGCCAAATCGCAGCCGGATGAGAAGCATATCCGCGAGAACATTCCTCTCAGTTCGATGCGGGATGAGGATCCCCGGGAAGCTCTGCTTAAGTATGCGGACAAGGCTGAGAAGGACCCGATATTCACCAAGGCGTGGAAGGAGACGCAGCCCACGCCGATCTACCGGGATATTAGTGATGATGAAAACGAGCAGGGACCGGATAAGAAGCGGGCAAAGCGGTGAGGTGTTGCGACCGATCGGAAACAATAAACATTGGTTCCATTCCTTCTACGCCATGATTCAGGACATGTACACAGTATACTTTTGGAGCAAGGGCGGCGTTGAGCGTGATGAACTTTGGTGGCAGATAAAGTGTGTTAATAATCATCCGCCCACTAAACGGAGTTAAACAAACAACAGAGATACCCTATGGCAGTAAATCTTGTGAAACTGTAGACATAATCATGCATAACGAGTAAGTGTACTCCGCTGTGTAGAATACTAGAAAGTAGTACTTGCGGCATGGTCAGCCTGCTCGATGACGTTGAAGGGGCTGGTGGGTGGGCCAGGATGTGCAAGTCGTCCATTCTCCGGATCGTCCATTCGACGTTGATCTGGAGGAGGCGAGCAAGCCAATGATTCCACGACTGCGGCGGGCTCCTCGATAATTTACTACTGCAGCCTGTCCGGCTTTGATTGCCCAGCAAACCTCACGCGATGCTGCGCTTATACGTGGTAATTCCCACTCTCCCAACTTGAGCAGGCTCGCACGTGCGAACTGGT